GAAGGGTCTAGGCCCGAAACGTCAGCCTCTCTGCTCCTATGATGCTGCTTGGCCTGCTGTGTTCATCCAGCCCTGCACCTTGTTGTCCCGGATTCTCCAGCATCTGCAGTTCCTACTATCTCCACCAACAATCTCAGGTTGGTCCCATGTTAATTTTTATACACCACCCTAATTTACTCTCCATTGAAGTAAATGCAAAGTAATAATGTGAGAGCATAATGCAGGCTTTTCATCCAATAATGCTTATCTCTTGCCTGGCAAATTAAGTTGAAATTGTCCCTGATGTGTCTAACCAGTGCTAGACCTTCAATTGGAAATATTATTCAGCTTCCATATGGCCAACACACAACTATGTTTATTCTTCCATTTCAAATAGCCTTTTACAATTTCCTTTTCAACAAGCTCTGCTTTATTAGCCACTTGTGAAAACATTTCTTTCTCTAATAACCTCTTCCAATTCATTTTTTTAAACAGCCCTCCTTGTTTTTCTTGCCAAAATCCAGAGTTTCTGCCCCTTGGTGTTTCACCAAATGACTCATTATTTATTTTCGAGTGTTTTCATCATGTTAAAAATCTCTGTCAGCTTCCACCTTAATTTCCTCTATTTTACTAAACAGCCTCAGCGAACAAAAGCTATATTACAAATCAGTATCCATGTGACTAGGTCATCCAGAACAGGACGACTAAAGAATACTTCACCATGAATAAAACAACAACAGAAAACAGAGCAAATAAGAAATAACAGAGAATGATTATGAAGCTGTAAAGTACACTTGACTCAGGAGCAAATTGTTTACTATGCCGTTCGACGTTCGCATTATCTGCTATAATCAGATTGTCAGCCTAACATCCCATTCCTGTTTCTGAGAGTTAGGCCATACACTTCCATTGGATTGGCCCATGCTTATGGGCAAAGTGGTTTGCCATTGAGTTCAGTAGGATGGCTGAGTAGGAGACTCTCCCACTTTTACCGCCTGCCTATTGGAATGGTGGAAGTATCTTCAGGCTGATATCTGACCTGTTTGGCCTGTGTGAAGAAAACACAACAAGTCCTGAAGCCCACCGACTCCCACAAACTGATATCTATTTCATGCCCACCGACTCCCGAAGCTACCTAGGCTACTCCTCCCCTCACCCACCTTCCTGCAAGAATGGGATCCCCTACTCCCAATTCCTCTGCCTCCGCCACGTCTGCTCCCAAGATGGGGGGTTCCACTCCTGCACATCCCAGATGTCCTCGTATTTCAAGGACTGCAACTTCTCCCCTTCAGTGGTCGAAAATGCCCTCGACCGCATTTCTTGTGTTTCCTACAACTCATCCCTCACACCCCCTGCCCCGCAATAAAAACAAAGACAGAATTCCCCTTTTCCTCATGTATCACCCCATTAACCTCCGGATTCAACGCATCATTCTCCGCCACCTGCAATCTGACCCCACTACGAAGGATATATTTCCCTCCCACCCTTATCTGCCTTCCGGAGGGACAGCTCTCTCTGCGACTCCCTCGTTCGCTCCACACTCCCCACTTGCCCCACCATCCCCGGCACCTTTCTCTGCAACCTGCCCCTACACGTCCCCCCTCACCTCCATCCCAGGCCTTAAAAAACAACCTTCCACATCAGACAGATGTTCACCTGCACATTTGCTAATGTGGTCTATTGTATCCGCTGTTCCCGATGTGGCCTCCTCTACATCGGTGAGACCAAGCGGAGGCTCAGAGACCGCTTTGTAGAGCACCTACGCTTGGTTCGCGACAAACAACAATACCTCCCACTCCCTGGACAACATATCCATCTCCATTGTCACAATGACGCCACCCAGAAACTGGAGGAGCAGCACCTCATATTCCGCATTGGAAGCCTACAACCCAATGGTCTCAATGTGGACTTTACAAGCTTCAAAATCTCCCCACCCCCAACCTCATCCCAAGACCAGCACGCCCCTCATCCCTGCTTCCTTGACCTGTCCGTCTTCTCTTCCACCTATCCGCTCCTCCCATCTCACTGACCAACCCCCACCACTACCTACCTGCTATCACCACCTTTCCCAGCCCAACCCCACCCCCCATTTATTTCAGAGCACCCTTCCCCTCTCCCATTTCTGAAGAAGGGTCCCGTTCCAAAACGACAGCTTTCCTGCTCCTGTGATGCTGCCTGGCCTGCTGTGTTCCTCCAGCTCCACACTGTTATTTAAGTCCTGATGTGGGACTCAAGCCCTGAGTAATGTACTGGCCTATAATTATACTACTGTTTTGTAACCACTTCCAGGTACATTAAATTAGAAGAAGATGGCATAAGCCATAAACGAGTTTCTGAAAAATATGATTTCAGGTGTCCGAGAGGTCAAATATTTTAGGCATACATGTGGGAAAGGTAGGAGAAATGAAAATGGCAAAGATAACTCAAAAGCGCTATCCCCTCCCCCACCCCAACTCCCACTCAATTTAAATGCACACTATCAGTAACTTTGAGTCATGAACTTATTAAGGTTCCTTCATGATGAAGCACCATATGTTGGATAGTGTGCAGATTTGAAATACTTATGATTTTAATTGTGTTGCTCAAAGTGAGTACAATGATTGATACAAGAGCTTAATACAGTGGATGCTGGAAATGTGAAATAAAAACATAACCTGCTGAAACTATTCATTCGGCTGGGCAGCATCCATGCAGAAGGAAAAACGTCAACGTTTCTGGCCTGTGACCTTACATCAGAACGGAAAGCTCAAAAACCTTAAACCTAACTCTGCTTTTTAACTCTTCACTGAAACTGCCTGGCCCATTCATTACAATCAGCATAGGTCATTAAAACTCTGAGGATTTGTGACAGTAATGTCTTCCCTTGCACAATTTGAATGGGCAAATGAGATGAATAAATAAATCTGTTGCATTTTCAGCTTGTACCTGTGCTCCACTACTTCCAGGTCATCAAGCTTCTTTGGAATCTCTATTCCTTCCAGCCACTTCTCCTTCTCATTCATCCATAATTCACAAGCATCAGCTTCACGAAACATTATGTAGAGAGCAAGGGCATCCTGCAGACGCTGCCTCCGCAGATCTGCTAGAGCTACGAGATCTGCATACAGCTCCTTTATCTCCCACCGTCGGTCCTTTATTTCTGGTAATTTCCTGAACTCCTCTGGAAGGCTCTGTAACTGTTTATTCAGAGCGTCAATAGCTGTCCCGGACTTCATAATCTCATCTGTAAGGTCTCTATGTTTCTTCACCAGCGTCTGCGTGGAAAATTCGTCGTGACCGACATCATCGGAAGACAAAATGCGATAGGTGTCTTGCAGCCAAGTTTTGACATCATCTGCGTCCACCTGGAATTGGAAGAAATTCTGTGCATCCTGAAGATTCTGCTTGCGGAAAGCAGCCAGCTCCTCCAAATCCTTCCACATTGCAAGGACCTCCTCTATTCGTTTCTTGATCTCGGGTGAAGCAAAGTGTTTCTGTGCAATCATGTCTCTGCCTTCTTTAATTGTTTGCTGCAGGTGAGTACTGAGGCCACCCAACTCATCCTCCAGTGCCTTATGCTTGCTTTGCAGAATCACAATACTGGTGATATCTTTTCCGTAATCCTGTGAAGAGAAGATCTGCTCTCTTTCCCGAATCCAGCCCTCAGTTTCGGCCATCTCCCAGAAGAACCTCCAGAGACAACGGGACTGCTCCAGGCGAGCCTTCCGCTCAGCCGCCAATACACAAAGCTCCTCGTAACACAGTTCCAGGTGGTTGACGCGATCTTTTATCACATTGGGGTCGCAAGGCGTATAACCTGGAAAACAGATTCACAGCCAATCACTAACTGCACGACTCAGAATGTCGTGGTGCTTAACCACACTCGGTCTCACAACAAAAAAAGAGAATGTGAATGAGTGAGTTGCATATAAAAAACTTACCAGCATCAATCAATCCCTTCGCTACATTACAACTTCAAACTAACCTGCTTATAACTTAATCAGATCAAGCTGATGAGGTCTGCTGGACCGGTCAGCAGACTTTGGGACAATAAATATTACAGGAAAGCAAGTTCCTAAACAAAAAAAAGTTGCTGGAAAAGCTCAGCAGGTCTGGCAGCATCTGTGAAGGAAAAATTGAGTTAACGCTTTGGTATCGTTCTGAGGAAGGGTCACTGGACCCGAAACGTTAACTCAATTTTTCCCTTCACAGATGCTGCCAGACCTGCTGAGCTTTTCCAGAAACTTTGTTTTTGTTTCTGATTTACACCATCCACAGTTCTTTCGGTTTTTATTGAAGCAAGTTCCTAAGTTAACTTGCATGATATGGATTGATATGATATTGGGATTTATTTTACAGAATTATAGAACGGTTACGGCACAGAACATGGACATTCCACTCACGTGTCAGTGTCAACTCTCGGCAAGAGTAGTTCACTTGGTTTCAAGTCCACTGTCTTTTCTACATGCTATGATTGATTTTTCCTCTTCAGATAATGATCCATTATCATGGAATGTGCCTCCATCACATTCTCGGGCAGCACATTCCAGATCCTAGCCTCTTGTTGTGTAAAAACTTTTCCCTCGTGTTACCATCGCCTTTCTCGCCAATCACTTTAAACTGATGTCCAGTCTACTTTCCACAATGGGAACAGTTTCTAACTATCTACTCTGGCCGGAGCCTTTGTGATTTTGAACAGGTTTCTCAATCCTTTCTCCAATCTTCTCCGACGAGAACAGTCCCCAGTTTCTTCAATCTGTCTAACAGAAGCTTCTCATTCCTGTACCCATTCTAGAACCATTCTTATGAATCTTTTCTATTCCCACTTAAATGCTTTCACATCCTTCCAAATGTGTGGTGACTAGAACTGGACACAACACTCCAGCTGAGTTCATACTAGTGCTTTACATATATTTATCGTAAAGTCTTTGCTCTTGTATTCAACGATCTTTGTTTTAAAATCCAGAGTCCCATCTACTCTATTAACGCTCACAACCTGTCCTGCCATCTTCAATTACTTGTGTAACTGCACAGCCATATTCTTTTGCTCCTGCACCCACTTTAAAATTGTGCCCCTTTTATTTAACTGCCTGACCCCATCCTCCCGAAACAAAATTTACCCTATTTGTATCACATTTCTCCTGCAACTTGTCTGTCCATTCCACCTTACTAACCTCCCTGCCCATTTTGAATTTCTACACTGTCTACACTGTCCTTCTCACAATTCACATTACTTCCAAATTGCATATTGTCCTCAAAATTTGGGATTGTGCCTTGCATATCCAAGACTAGATTATTATCGTACATCAAGAGAGGCAAGGATGCATACATTCTGGTTCTGGTAACTTATTAACTTGAAGTACATCCAGCCTAATATCTCTTTCTTATCACTTTTAAAGCCATTAAGTAACTGAACTACCTCCTCTTTCATCATTATTTGGGCAGCATCTTCTTCCTTAGTTAAGACAGATGCAATGTATTCATTTACTACCTCAGTCATGCCCCTGCCTCCATGCATAAATCCCCTTTTAGGCCCACAGTTGCGATGCCACTTTATATATTAGAAATTATGACAAAATAGATAAATCGTATTTTGAGCAACTCTGGCCGATAAAGAAAAAAAATTCTGAAGACTTCATTGACACTTTTCCACGTACACAGGTACCACAGCATTTTACTCAAGACAAAGGATACTAGATTATTTCAAAACATAGTAAATAGAACAAAACCAAAAACTTTCATTTCTCAGGCTTGTACTCTGTCTAGACTGGTTCTAAACCTTGTTTTGTCAATCAAAACCTCCTGGGCTCAGTTTTTGACTTTTAAATGCTCTTAAATTTGATACCACTTCTTACCAAATGGGCAATCCTGCTCAAAGTCCACAAAGACATGATAAATTGGTGAAGTAAGGTTATACTCTTGGGCAATATCAAATGCAAGGTATGACTGATGTGGGAGAGCAAGGAAGAAGCTAAAACAGTCCATTCCTAAATACCATTATAATAGAATTTGATGAGCCATATGCAATATAAGTGCCGTTGCTGGACGAGTTGTTAAACTGATAGTCTCTGAGCTTTCTCAGGCTGACACAGAAGATCCCATGGCACTATAATAAAAGCAAGGCAATTCATCTCAGTGTCTTGGTTGATACTTATTTTCCAAGTAACGTCAGACAAATGATCTAATTGCACGGCTTGGTTTCCTGCAAGTTGTTATAAAACAGATACACGTACACTTACATGCATATGTAAGACATAGTGTATATATGCAGGGATATAAAGCATTGGAAGGGCTCCATGAATAGGCACAACAACAAAAACAGAAAATCAAAAGTTTTGCAGTTGCTTTTGCTAAGTAGCTGATGGTCTTTATCATCCAATTTGATTACAAAATATTTAAACAGATGTGACTTGCGTGACAGAAACATTAACAGGTACCTTCGCCTTCAGCAAACTTGAGCGCTCCTGCATTAACCAACTTCAGTCTATCTGCTTGAATCGCAATGTCAGCTTCCACCAGTGTATGTTTCTGGAGCAGGTCCTCCACACCCATTAAATGTTTACCGAAATCTTGTGATAGCAGTTGTACCTGAAAAGAAAGGGAAATATTAACTTTCTAAAATGACAAACTATGAAAAAAAAACACATACATGCATACATAAACACATAATTCAAAATGCCATTGTTTCTAAACCTGTTAAACACTAATGCATCAAAAAGTAAATCTCATGAGGTAAATGTTGTTCTTAAAATGATACAAATGCCAGCCAATATTTCAGTGTAATGCTGTCCATAATGAGATCACAAGTACTTGGTTTTCAACATCAGCAGTCTCCTTGAAAACTTTAACTAGGACTGAATATTATAAATATGTTACATCTGATTAAGGCACAAGCAAATTTCAGGTATCATACATGCAACTTTCTGTCACATTCACTAAGTAGCACTTTACATGATATAAAGCTCCTATTTAGAAAACAGAATACCCTCAGATTTATTACCCGAGATCCACAAGCTTTTTATAATCAAATGGATTTATTTTATTGGATAAGAAATGGGAAGAAAATTAAATCACATTCCATAGAGCAGATGATGCAATTCGACCTTTATTTACTGCTGAAAATAAAATCAGTTAAAATAATCGTTAATGATAACTTTATTATGCCCATTATTTCCCCAATGCAAAGCTGGGCAGCAGGAGGAAACTGGGTTAACAAATACAACTAAAATGGTAATGGCAGTTTCACTATTGTATGAAATTTGTAAAATTGTCTAATCCAGAAAGGAAATCTGAAAACAAAACAACCAAAACTGTCTAAAAAAAAAACTAAAAGAACTGCGGATGCTGTAAATCAGGAACAAAAACAAAGTTGCTGGAAAAGCTCAGCAGGTCTGGCAGCATCCGTGACGGAAAAAATTGTCTAACAGTTGTGCTGCAATTTTATTTTTCCAAAGCAGGACTGATGATATTGGAAAGTCTAAATAATCATTCACTGCCTTTGTCCCATTAGTACTAGAATACTAACATTTGAATACATGATATATACACAAAAAGGTCTCATCTTAGCACCTACCTTCATTTCATCCATCCAATCAATGATGTGGAGCATCTCCTGGAAAATCTTCTGAAGGGCCAAGTTCATTTCCAGTCTTGCTCGTCTAGCATTAAGCAGCTCTAACAGGTACTCCCACAGCCGCATGATGTTGTCCTTTCTGGCGTTAATACGTTTAATATCATGGTAATTTTCAGCCTCCAGTTCCAGTGATACATCCACAAGAGTCTGCACACGTTCCTCGTAAGCAGCAATATCTGCTTCAATTGCCTCATGCTTCTTCATAGCTGCTTCCACAGCAGGCAGGTCATAGCCAAAATTATCCTGTGGTCAAATTAAGGGATAAATTACATAAGAAACTGGAACTGTTCACTGACAAGTTTCACTCCTATGATTGAACCAAAGAGAAACAGCAAACATGTACATCAACTTTGCCACTTGTCAGGCCAAATCAACGTCAATATAAGCATGCTTGGCACTTTTGTAAAATGACAATATTCTGAAACATCCATACGCTACATGTTGTTCTCAATTTACAGTCACATGCAAGAACACTGCATCAGAAGCTAGAAACACCAGCACAATGAGACAGCCACAGGAAGTAGTAAATGGATCAGAAAATAAGTCAGGATGAAAAGTAAACACAAAAAAGGCCACAGCAGAACGTCAACCAATAAAGTTACATTACTTCACATGTTGCTTTCAGGCCTGCATTATCAACCAAATGCACTTAGCACTGCATCCAATGCAACGCAGCAAAAATAAACACCAAGCACTTTTATTTTAGCTATAATGTCTGATCAAACAGATTCTGTGGTGGGAAGGTGAAAGCGAGCTGACCAACGCATGATTTAACATCCAAATGTTCTGAATCCTAAGATCCAGATAAAGCCTGTGTATTCAGACAACATAACCACTAGTAGATAGTTGTAGCAGAATGTGCGCAATGGCATTTGGAATCTGAATTAGTTCCTGTGGTGCAATGATGTTTACATGCTTTGAAAGTACAATGGTCTGGATCTTGCTGGTAAAATGATCGTGATTTAACAATGCACATTATTGATGTGCAAAGTGACCAAATTTAGCAGATTGAGAGACAAGGGCTGAATTGCAAATCTCCAAAATGTGCCAGCTGATTTACACCACTATTTCCTTTTCACCAATAGCATCTTGCTCTCAACCTCACTGTCATTCTTAAATCTTGATGAATTTTCACATTACTCACTGAATGCTAAACAGAATGCCAACCCTGAAACTTAACAAATCACCTCATCAACATGATAATGGCTAACGCAACTATTCCTGCATTGAAAGGGGACAACTTAAAATGCTCAATGTCATTCCTGCAAGCAGTCAATTGTTGTTAGAGATTTTAAATATATCAAATTTTATTTTAAATTTTGTTTCTTCATTTTATCTTTGTCCCTTTTCTTTCCCTTAATTAAAATATTTCTTTCCTTCTCTTTATTTTCTTGCTTTTATTTTCTAGTTGATTTTATTGTAATTCATCCGCCATATCAGTCATTCCTCCGTTGCTTTCTCACTGGCTCAGTGGTTAGCACTGCTGCCTTACAATGCCAGGGACCTGGGTTTGATTCTAGCCTTGGGTGACTGTCTGTATAGAGTTTGGACATCTTCCCCCTGTCTGTATGGGTTTCCTCCCACAGCCCAAGTTAGGTAGGCTGGCCATGCTAAATTGCCCACAGCGTCCAGAATGCATCGGTTGGGTGAATTAGCCATGGGAAATGTAGGGTTACAGGGAATGGGTAGGGGGCTGGGGCTGGGTAGGATGCTCTTCAGAGGGTCAGTGTGGACTTGATGGGCTGAATGGCCTGCTTCCACACTATGAACTTCAATTCAGAAGTTGGATTGGTTACAGAGATACCCCCAGTTCACTATGTTTCCTAGATGCCCTGATGGTGCTGTTATCAAATTACACTTCCAACAAGTCACGCCACAAAAATATTTTGAGCTAAAGGCTACAGGAAAGAGTCTAGCTAATGGAAAATGCTACAAGAGGCTGCTGACCAGCAAGATCCAGACATTTAGTTACAATATTCAGATTAAACAAGGAATGTATGTTTGTAGGGCCAGTCAAATTCACGTATTCTAATAAACTATCTACTGGTTCAATGCAGTACACTACTTAAGTAAAACTGACAAAGAACTTTATTAATACTTTGCCTTCACCATCCTGAATTGCTGCTACAAAATAATATTTTTTGTGAAAAATCTCTGGGCAACAGCAAAGAGTCAAAGACATAACAGTATGATATATGTTGAATAAGTCTTTCAAAACGAGCTTCAATATTGAAGACATTCACTTATATCTATGCCAATGCTACAAAATTAATAACTTTAAGTTAATTCTGAACAGCGCTGATACCTATTCCGAGTAGTTTCACTGCATAACATTGCAAAAAAACTTTTCTTGCCATCTTTGAGGTATAGTCAGATGGGTAGAACACAGAACATATGTGTACTCTGCCCAAAGGAAGATCCTTGGCTCATTCTCTGTACATGTTTCATTCAGAGCCACTTTCCTTGATAGTTTTTGTCATTGGCCATTGCCTTTCAGTCTTGGGGGCAGGACAAGGAGGTAGATCTCCAGTTAGATGGGAATTAAACTTGTGCTGTTTTGCTTATTTTGAATCACATTCTAGCCACCTAGCTAGCTGAGCTAAGCAGCCGCCAGAACACATGTAACGTGCTCATGTGAATATTGAAAAGAGAATCGCAGCTTAAATATAATTTCTGGTGATAAAACTAGCATGGATTCCTGGTACACTCCCCTTTGGTTTCATGATGACAGGTTATGCAGGGCACAGCTGCACATTTAGCTCATATGTAAACTGATCCCATTTTCAAAGTATCATGTTCACTATTGTATCTGTCATTTCAGTAGTTACGTTTCAGCATGGTAAGAGGAAGCAAGGCGAGTTGGTTTTGGGAAGTGATTAGAAAATCAAAAAAAGCAGATATTAACAATATAGTTCCTGAAAATAATAACATCCCAAATTTCCCTTCGAAAATATAATCATCTCTAGTTAATAATAAACAAGCAAGGGTTTCATATAATTATCTACACTAAGTATGACAACAAGTCTACTCCACTGGCAAGGAAATACCATGTGCAACATCATGTAACAGACATTTTTACACACATCACATGTTTACAATTTTCTACCCAAATACCTTTACTTTATAAGAAAATGATCAAAGATGGTGCAAGTGCAAGTTTCTGAATATGTTGCTTGTATCGACCCAGATTTACAGCAGCCATTAAAGTGTATCAGTTCTCCATCAAGAATAAAATTGATTAATTACAGCTAGCAGAACATGCTGATTTCTCATATATTCAGCTGTACAGCAGGAAAGCAGTCAATTAATGGTATAAATCCATTCTAAAATCGCATGCAATGCAATTTGGAGTTCAATTGTATTCACATAAAGATGGAAAGGAAATCAGAAGGAGGAGCCACTTGGACTTCACCTTGACATAAATAACATTAGTACAAGTGTGCTGGCAGATTGTTCGCTACAATGTGGTGTCTGTCCCGAGGGGGGTTTACAGCTTTGAAATTTGTAACTAACACAGAGAATCCCGAGCTGTAAAGCATGGTCATGTGTACAGTTCTACACATGATAGTTTTAAATTACAGTTCTCAGTAACTCCCAGACATTGTACCAAATTTTGTTTTTACCAGATATTTACAATACAGACTTTAAAATCTTGTTGGTATCTAGGGCCTGTGGCTAGTGCAATCTCCAAATTCATAACCTCTTTCAGTAGCTTACTGATAATTGCATACTACCCATTAACTCACCATATATGCATTACTCATTTTGTGTGATAAAATGAAATGGTTCTTTACCTGCGAAACAAGCCGTTGATTTTCACACAGCCATGTCTCTCTCATAAGTGCCTTGCGGTCAAAACGGCGAGCCAGCTGCTCCAGTTTCTCCTGTCTGATTAGTTCATTTCTAAGGGCCAACTCACGTTCATGCTCTGCTTTTTCCAGCCTTTCCCAGCCCTAACCACATTCACCAGATACAAAGGTCACAAATATACAAAGGTCACAAATACACAAAGGTCACAAACAATGAGATGTTAGCTGAGTGATCACTTAATAAAAGCATTTTTGCTTAGCTTATTTGAAACTGATATAATTCAGCGAACTGAAATTGCTTGATCTATGTGGATGTCCTTGCTCTCATTTGCTGGTTTCACGCAGAAGAAAATGTTGATGTGATATTGGAGTTTTTATAGGATCCTTGCAGACGGGCCAGTAAGGGAACTGCTGGTTCAATCCCATGTCCTTGAATTCATTTTCTCAGCTATGCCACAATGACTTTTTGCAGGCTGTTCCTGAATGGCATTTACAACCTGGTTATTTAATTGACTTTCCATTGCTGAAGGCAATGCATGAGACTGAGAATTTGGAATAAACAGCAGAAATAAAGTGCAAAATGTACCCAAGTAACAGTGAGGGAGAAGGGCTCCAAAAGATCTTTTCATCTAAACAATCCAAGAACGTTTTAGAATTGCGATTTTCAATGTATTCGGTTTTCAATACCATCACAAACATAAAAGGGCTCACCTTTTTTAATATGCTAAGAGAGCACACTCAAGATTTATCCTATATCTCTACTGATTTCAGGATGTCTAACAGGAAAGGAATACGGGCTTTCAATGCCTGCAGGATGGGGAGAGGGTTTTAAAAATGCAGCTAAGAGCCCAATGTTGATCATTAATCAGTGATGATCTGTAAACACTGCACAAGCCTGCACTGTACTGCAAAGCTTTCCAGAAATCTTACTGATAAAACACACAGAACCTTATTGTGGTAATAAGGTCACTCAAGGATAATTAGAGATGGACCATAAATGCTGGCCCTGCTGGTGACACTACATCACAAGAGCAAAAAAAATACTCTGGGCTGCTATCAGAATGATATGAAGCATCGATATCCACTTTTGCTGCACACACAGGGAACAACACTTGAGTGTTTCACTCCATACAACACACTTTGAGACATCTGCAAAGAAATTTCATATAAATGCAAACTCTGCTGTTCAACAGGAGGAAAGCAATCAAAATAGGGGAAAATATACAAAGTCTACTTTGAAAAGAACATGTTCAGAATGAAAATTCAAGTGAGTTCACTCTACACATATATCTACGAAAGTATTATTTTGAAAAAGAAAACTTCATAAATACAAGTTAAATAATAATCAAAAATTTGCTTCCCAATATATGGAGCCTAAAACTGAATGGGATATTTGATCTGATTAATTTATTTGCAAATGACAAATAGAAATAGAAATAGAAATTTACCCTGCATACCTATAAAATCTCCCCTGAATAGTTGTTTAAATGAATTCCAATCATCAGTTGCTCTATTAGAAAGCCTGTGTAAGTCTGCCTTATCCAGGGGTTAAATTCAATCAACAATTAAAATAATTAAAGGCTTTTGAGTTGTTCTGCATTCTCAAACAGACTGGTGAAAATGGTGAGCGCAGGAAGCTCTTACCCTGTTAATATCGGAGATGAGCTTGCCTTCATGCGGTGTATACACTTTCTGATTGTTTGCCCTCATCCTGCTCTGGATGGAGAACAGCAGCACCTCAAGATTACCCTTCTCCTGGAACCTGTTGAAGAATTACACATTCTGTCATTTTTGATCCAATTCAAAAGAAAGAATTGCATGCAAACCAAAAATCAGTGCTCCGACACAAACTGTGCACTGGAAATTAAACACAGTGCTAATGCAGAGAAGGGAGTCGCGACAATTTAGGAAAATGTTTCATTCGCCCTTTCAGCAAGATGCCAAAGCAATGCTGCGCAGCTCTGCTGCTTAAGTTTTGTTATTGTTAAAGTCTATTTTAGGCACCAAAATGATTGAGTAGTTCAAGCTTTATGCAGTTATTTGTACAACCTAAATCTTGGGTCTTCCGCAGAATGCACTGCACCTTCAGCAGAGCATAGAAATACAAAATAAAAACCAAAAGAACTGTGGATGCTGTAAATCAGGAACAAAAACAAAGTTGCTGGAAAAGCTCAGCAGGTCTGGCAGCATCTGTGGAGGAGAAAACAGAGTTAACGTGGTAGGGTCAATTTAACTCAGTTGGTTGAATGGTTGGTCTGGTGTCGACTGGTTACTGACTTTTGGTTACTGATTTACGGTCCCTCATTTATGGTTACTCATTTGAGAGCTTCTGAAAAATTTCTTCCAGCTGCATATAAACTGATGTTTTCCCAGGCACCATCAGTTCTGAGGAAGGGTCACTGGACCTGAAACATTAACTCTGTTTTTTCCTTCACAGATGTTGCCGGACCTGCATAGAAATACAAAATGCTGATTAGAATTAGATAAGTCATTTCACAGAGATTCTGCTGCATTGATATATCCAATCATGCTGGAATGCTAAATAAAAACAGCTTAACATTTAACTGGTTCATAATCTTTCCCTGATCATAGAGAGAATGTGATGACACAGCACTGCACTGATGGGGAGGCTCTCAAGGTGATTTTCAAGTTGCCTGCATGATGGTGACTGCCATGGCACAGAGGGATGGGGGTTCAGCCAGAGGTGAGCGCAGAAAGTTGGACATAATCACCTGTGCCAACTGAAGGGGACTGTATTGGAAAGGATTTTTGCCTGATTCTCAAACTGTGAAAGGTTTGATTTCTGGCTGGAAGTTCCAAATTAGTACATGGAGGAATTAACGCAGTGGCAGGCAAAACAATTGATCAGCTATCACAATGACTGCTGTTGTTGCCAGCAAGAACGAGCGAGATGAGTGCAGTCGGTAACATAGAAACATAGACGATAGGAGCAGGAGGAGGCCATTCAGCCCTTCGAGCCTGCTCCGCCATTCTTCACGATCATGGCTGATCATCCAACTCAATAGTCTAATCCTGCTTTCTCCCCATAACCATTCGGCCCAAGTTCTATATCTAGTCGCCTCTTGAATACATTCAATGTTTTGGCATCAACTACTTCCTGTAGAAGTACTCACCACTCTTTGGGTGAAGAAATGTCTCCTCATCTCCGTCCTAAATGGTCTACCCCAAATCCTTATACTGTGACCCCTGGTTCTGGACACACCCACCATCGGGAACATTCTCCCTGCATCTACCCTGTCCAGTCCTGTTAGAATTTTATAAGTCTCTATGAGATCCTCCCTCTGAACTCCAACGAAAACAATCCCAACCTAGTCAATCTCTCCTCATACATCAGGCTCGCCATCCCCGGAATCAGCCTGGTAAACCTTCACTGCACTCCCTTGAGAGCATGAGCATCCTTCCTTGGAAAAGGAGGCCAAAACTGCACACAATATTCCAGGCGTAGTCTCACCAAGGCATTGTACAACTGCAACAACATATCCCTGCTCCTGTACTCGAAACCTCTCGCAATGAAGACCAACATATCATTTGCCTTCTTTACTGCCTGCTACACCTGCATTCTTACCTTCAGTGACTGGTGCACAAGGACAAGGATGGGTGTTGAAAGGCAAAATAATCAACAATGTATCATTCGGCATGGTTCACTTTCTGCTCGGAGAAAAGGGGAAATCCCTTCCAGTGTAAACGTTATTCACTACTTCACCGCCAGCTACATTAAGTTGGCATTGACAATTTTAAACTCAACAACAATAAAACTCGTATTTATTATGCCAGGCAAAAGACTAGAGCTGGTGACCTGAAATTAACTATTCAGCTGATGTTACAATATTTTGATCTTGGACTTTGGAGGCACTGGCAAAGCAGCATTTAGAATCATAGAATCCGTACAGTGCTGAAAGAGACCATTCAGCCCATCAAGTTTGCACCAAGCCTCTGAACAGCATCCCACCCAGACCCACCCCTACATTATCCCCATAACCCCGCATTTACTGTGGCTAATCCACCTAGCCTGCACAATACACACAATTTACTCTGGTCAATCCACCTGATCTGCTCATCTTTGGGGTCATAAAGTCATAGAATCATACAGAATGGAAACAGACCCTTGATCCAAAATAGTCCACGCCATGTTCCCAAACCAAACTAGTCCCATCTGCCTGCATTTGGCCCATATTCTTCCAAACCTTTCCTACGTATGTACTTATCCAAATGTCCTTTAAACGTTGCAATTGTACCTGCATCCACCACTTCCTCTGGCAGTTCATTCCACACAGGAACCACGTTCTGTGTAAAAAATTTGCCCCTCATGTCCTTTATAAATCTTTCTCCTCTCACCTTAAAAAAAAATGTGCCTTCTAGTTTTGAACTCCCCCACACTAGGGAAAAGAACCTTTGTTATTCTCCTTATCTATACTCCTTATGATGTTATAAACTTCCATAATGTCAACCCTCAACCTCCTAAGCTCCAACTGTGGGAGGACACTTGAGCACCCAGTGGAAACCCACGCAGACATGGGGAGAACATATAAAGTGGAATCAAACCCAGGTGCTGGCTCTGTGAGGTGGCAGTGCTAACCACCGAGCCACCGTGCTGCGATTTATCCATAATTACCTTGGCAGTGTATGTTTCTAAGTTTTAGATTGAGATGAAGAGGAATTTCTTCACTCAGACAGCCATGAACCTGTGAAAGTCTCCACTCCCAAGGGATAAGGGATAATGCAGGGCAATGATGTTAAGGTGGAAGATCAATCACATTCCAGTTGAATGGCAGGGAAGGTCTGAAGGGCCAAATGAGCTGCCCCTGCTCCTGTTGCCTATGTTCCAATGAGTCCACCACATAGTGAGAGACGGAGTCGTATGCCAATCATATTTGGTAGGGGTCAAAGATTGCCCTTCACATAGGAAATGAGTTAGGAAATGACCAGATGTGATAGCAGCATTACAGTAACTGCATAATTTTTTCAACACATTCTGGCCTTTTATTAATAAAGCCTAATCATATTTTGATTTACATATGGATCTGGTAAGTTTATTTATTTAAAGATATAAAGATATTTTCCATGGTCGATATAAAAGAAAGTAATGAGGGCTAAATTTGGTTGCACCTAACAACAGGCGTGGAAATCAAGATGCGTAATGAATTCATGGCCATTGATTGCAATGCTGGCAGTGCAACTTCAGGCTGCCTGATCACTTCAATGGTTTCACTGAACAGCCACGTGCTGTTAACTGGCTGGATGCCCAAGCAGAAGGGAACCACGGGTGGCTGGCACCAGTTAACACCAGCCTGCACTGCTTAAAGGGGAGATGCATTGTGGCTAGTGCAGATACTTGCAGTTGTTCAGGAAATGAACCTGACCTGGGAAATAGTGAATAATGGCACTGCGTGGGAGAGAGCAGACTCCAAGACTTTTGGGTTGAACTGGAGACCTTTGTGAAAGGAGACTGAAAGAAAGAGAGCCGTCTTACATCCATACAGAGGCCATCCAGACAAACACACTCAAAGCACTGGAGGCCAATGCCCACAGGTTCGGGTGACATGTTGTAATGATCTCATCAGTGGTCAAGATCAATGAATATGGCTTTGACAAGGCACACCCTTCCAACTGTGCTATTAGCTGTACACTCTGCACCGTGCCCACCACCAATCTCCATAAATCACCACTCATACTCAAAATTCAAATCTTCACTTCATCATTGCATCTTAGCTCTGCTGGAAAGACAAAAGACCCTGGAAGCCCGCACCACACCCTGTCAACTTTTGAAAACTTGAGACAACGGTAGCAACACCACAAACTTGTAGAATTGTGGCAACAGCCAGACCAAAAATAACCAGGAGTTAACTGTTGTTCCCGTTAAATCATTTTGATGTGGCAGGTCCTTTCTGCTTTTGAAAGTACAATATTTTTGCAGAGGTTTCCAAAAGAGCAGCTCTTACCCATGTACCGTGTACTACTAGAAATCCAACTGGTCCAAAATGGCCTTCTGGAGTCAACAGTACTGTCCTTGATGGCATTTTGTACAATTTTAATTGAAAGATTTCTATTCAGGTCTGTTTTGTCCGCTATCACCAATGGCCTTGGTACGATTCACCAACAGTAAGCATCGAATAATTCCATAGGACTAAAAACATCAAAGGTAGTTGTGCAACAGAAAACACCTAAAATGCTGTAAAGAGATGCTGAAGCACATAGCAGTTCTACTTCTGCTACTTACTTGGAAGGTTTCTCCACTGTGCGGTAAGTGTTGAAGGCCTGTAGCTGTTGTTGCACTCCAGCCAATGAGTTGGCAAACTTCCGACTGTTGAGGACAACGATGGTTTGCTCAATCCAGATTAGCAAGTCAGATGCTAGCTGTTCATATTTGTCGATCATTTTCTGCGTTTCAATTGCGTTGTCCAACACCTGCATAAAGATATAGCACACTGTAGGACATGCTGAGCTCGCATAACATTGAGAGACTGGAATTCTTCCAGTTTAATCAAATATACAAAACATGCTGAGCCATTCCTGATTGTGAGATGCTGATTTGTCACGCACTTTCCTAATCATGGAAAATGCCAAAGTTGGTTGCGTAGTCCTAATAACACTGGGCTAGACAGAAGTGAAAGAGTGTGTGTCAACTCAAAAGGAATCACAACTACATGTGAGCTTCACTGGTATTGTCATATCTTTGGGGGGGAATGGAGATGGTTTGGAGAAGAAAGTAACATTTTCAAAATTCCAGACTATTACAATAATACTTATTCCTTCAAATGATTTGGTGGAACAGAGGGACTTGGAGGTAATTTGTTATCCCTGTTGAACGTTGCTGACTAGTCTTTCAAGCTTATTCTACCCTCCAATGAGATCATTGCTCATCCATGATTGAACTCCATATACTTATCTTTGCCCCATATTCCTTGATATCTTTGGATAACCAAAACCTATCGACCTAAAATTTAAAGTTAACAATTGATCTAGCATCAAATTACTGTTTGCAGAAGAGTAGTCCAAACTTCTACTGTGCTACTATTCTTTGGAACATTAGCCAATGGGTCCCACACACTTTTGTTTTCTGCCCACTTTCCTGCAAATATGGCTTTACAAATATACATCTGATCCTCAATTGAATGTCCCATTGAATACATTTCCCCATTTTAGGGCAGTACATTCCAGATCACCAGAATAGAAAAGCAAACTCATCTTTCCTCTGATTCTTTTGACATGCCTGCTGGTTACTAATCTCCTGCCAGTGAAACAGATCTCTAATCACGACCTTCAGAATTTTGTTCACCTCCACAAAATTTCTCCATAAACTCTGCTCCAACTCGTGCAATTCCAGTTCCCCTATCAGTCTATGTAACTGAAATCATTTCTGTTTTCTCTGACAAAGCAGAAATGGCAGCTCACAAGGGCATCTCTCAGCTATAGAGAGTTTGATCTGCTCACCTGCTTTTCAGGTGATGTTGCATTTGAGTGAATGGATTTACTGGTTATTTCAGCAAACAATTCTATTTAACACAAACCTTTCCAATCCTTTTTCCCTCCACAGCTAACGCTTTCATCTTAGAGAAGTAATGGTAAAATGCCACAACGTAGGTAATAATTGACTTCTCATCTGGATTCTCCGTAAAAACATCTGTGAGGAGGAGTACATGAGAATAAGTATCAATTGTTTCTTGATCAGGCATCATACTTTATGCAGAAAAGGAAAACATTCACTACGATCATCACACCTGACACAATCTGCACTAAGCCACTTTTTGAAATTTTAATCTGAACTAGTTGAACAATATTCAGAGAGAAATGGCTACAGCATGAAACATATTAAGTATATTTTGCTTTTGTGGTTGGTGGCAACAGAAGTCAATCAGAATGATAAATTACGAAGCTTTTTTGATTTGTTAATCACATTAATATTCATAAATGAAGGGCATTGTTTAATCAAGTGTCTAGAGTATTTATAAAGAGAGACTGCTGGGACACAGGGTTGGTAGTGAGGAATCAGACATATATAACACTGCCTTTTGAAAATAAATCTATCATCAAGACAAGTATTCGTGTTTAGTTTCATACTTTAGACTTGAGATCAAATTAATAAGAATTGCCTCTCAGCTAAAGAAAGAAACCTTCACACGATTGAAGATTATAGGGTTCTATCTTTAACAATCAAATGTTGTCGCATGGCTATCAAACAAAATGTTTGGTTATACTCATTATGTTATGACGACACACACCGGGAATATTGATCGATTTTACAGCCGTCCAAATTTAAAGCTGATACAATTAGAATGATGTAATGCAGGAGAAGGCCATTTGCTCAGTCATGTCTGTGATGGTGCTGGAAAGGAAATGCAAGTCAGAGAATCAGGGCATATGCCCTACATATGACTCCCTTTGTGTATATTTAATATTGGGAATACTGTATTGGGACATTTTCTTTCTATTTAGAGAAACACATAATTACACAGACTTTAAATACTTTACATACGTACATATGTAATTGCGTAGAAACTTCTTGCTGTAACTTACCCTCAGGATCAAGCAGCTTGGTCACACCTAGCTGTTGTTCGGCAATGTTAAAGGCCTGTTGTAAGTTGTACGTAGCATTAGACTGCTTCAGTTTATTAAAATCAACCAGATCAGGCCTGAAGAAAGATACGCATATTTTAAATATGTCTAATTCACAATATATGACTCCGTGTTGAATAGTTTACTGAATGCTCAAACTATGTAATAAAATATAAGGAAATTTTGGAATTCAGATATTTTTTGCCAGAATAGACATTCTCACCTAACTGCAAAACCAAATATGTTGAACGGCAGCCTTCTTTACCAGGTATTATCAAAAAAAGTTAGTTCCATTAAAATGACAAACGTGCATTATTGGAAATAGTAATTAATTGAAGTACCCAGTTGTAAACAGATTTGCATGTGCAAATTGATCAAAAAAGACACTAGATAAAGATCTAAATAAACAGCAATTGTACTTTTGGTTTGATAAATAGGAACAGTGTTACATGAATAAAGAGATTATGATAAATCTGTACCAGGCACTGGCAAGACCTCAGCTAAACAATTATTTGCAGAAAAAGACAAAGTGGGGTTTAAAGATGGAGTCACCAGACAGAAAGTATTTCTGAAGAAATTTGAGATATTAGGGTTACATCTTCTGAAGCAATGACGACTAATTTAAGAGAGGTATTTTAAATTCTGACAATTGGTGATCAGTATTTAATCTGTTTCTGCAGATTCATACCAGGTTTCCAGAGACATGTTATAGAATATTTTCTGAAAAACCCATGCATATTTATGGCTATTATGTTTACTGTGCAACAGTGTTCGTTCAATTCCTACACCAGTTGAGGTAACCATTAAGGACTCTCCGTCTCAACCTCTTCCCTCACCTGTGATATGGTGGCCCTAACCCTAACCCTCAGGTTAAATCACCACCAGTCATTTCTCTCTAATGAGAGAACAGCCCTACGGTTTGGTAAGACTATTGGTAACACAATACCAATACCATTATGTTTACTGCACCTTGTTTATCCAAGCATAGCATCTTTATTGCAGAAGATTTTCTGTTTGACAGGTCATGTTGCTGCTGCATAAGGCTTTATTTAGGCCACATTTGGAGCACTGTGCGCGGTTCTGGTTGCCACACTATAAGGAGGATGCAAAGGAGGGTGCAAAAGAAATTTACCAGGATTGTGCCACAGTTGGAGTATATTAACTATAAAACAGAGGTTGGACAATCTTGGATTGTTTTCATTACAGCATCAGAGGCTGAGGTGGGGGGGGG